GTTTATGTTTTGGGTCTGTGTTTTATTTCTGTGCTCACGGCCCCCACGGATCTCCCTTGCAATAGCCGTGCAACCAATACAATCAAACTCAAGGAATTAGCACAACACCAGCCATCATCAAACAAAAATCGCGCTCTATAAAAATTCCAGTTCGTATTGTGAGCGTGGTTGCACACACAACAACAAAACTAACAATGTAGCCCGCGTTAATCGAGAGCCCATTCAAATTAAGTTTGAGATCCCAGCGTGCGTGTGTGTGTACACATGTTCCACGTGTGTGTGTACACGTGTGTACACGTGTTCCACGTGTGTCTGTGTGTACACGTGTTCCACGTGTGTGTACACGTGTTCCACGTGTGTGTGTACACGTGTGTGTGTACACGTGTTCCACGTGTGTGTGTGTACACATGTTCCACGTGTGTGTACACGTGTTCCATTTGTGTGTGTGTACACGTGCTCCACGTGTGTGTGTACACGTGTTCCACGTGTGTGTGTGTGTGCGCGCGCACGTGTTAAACGTGTGCATGTGCGCGCGTTCGACGAGACGTTGCTTATATTGCTTATCGCGCCGCATGTGACGTGTTTAACAATCATCGGGCGCGTGCAGCGTGGAACGGAGTACATTTTTATTTCACCGGTGAGCACGGAAAGACGTAGCGTTCTGGTGGGTGGCGAGGACTGCAGTTTGGGAGGCGCTTCTGTCTCTCCGATAGAGGGGGAAGAGATGGGAGTCCGTATTTTTGCTGTGCCGTCTTCTCCTGGCAAGTCAGGGTATGGCCCTCTCCTCAACGCCCGCGGGAAGGAAGTTTCACGACAATCCACGTGGTGATCCACCAACCCTCCCTGCCTGCACAGTGCTGGATCACAGGCACCGCCATCATTTCGTGTCGTCTTGATCAAACACCAGAGAGAGAGAGACACTGGCAAGGGAGGTCCCATGATGTAGCTGCTCACCCCAAGCTCTCAATGTCCTGGTAGTGGCATTGTCTTTGTGCTGCTCGCCTTCTTGGCGTCCTCTGATCTAACGCCGTTTGAGACGAGGCTCGAAAGAAAGCTCTCTCTGGTGTGGCCCAATCAGTTTCAAAGACGATGCATCATCATAAACTACCGGAGCATTTTATGTTTGTTTGCATGCTCACAAGAATATGTGGTTAATGCAGACATTGTTCCTTGCAAAATGTTTCTGTTTGGTGTTTTAACATCTTAACAACCTCCTGTTTGATTGCCAGCAAGGGTTAAAACCTATTCTTATTTTTTTTATGCTGGCAAGGGAGGTCCCATGATGAACCAGAGAGACACTACGATGTGAATACAGAGACTGACACACCGACAGACTGATTTAGACACAGAGAGGCATACGCACAGACTGATAGAAACACCGAGAGACATACAAAGACTGACAGAGACACAACAACAACAACCGCTGTTCGTCGCCACTAAGTGGTGGTGACGTCACCACGGCGCGTGTGCCAGGCTAGGTGCACTTCGAAGCCACGTGAAGTGTCGAAGGCTCGGTGACAGGAGGTCACGGGTCAGACACTGCAGATGCCATGGGTTGACTGGCAGATATATACAAGGACAGATACACGAGCAGATAGACATATATACAGACACAAGATACAGATCCTCCTATAGACTTCACATATTCTTGGGGTAAGTGATGTTCGTGAGCACCTATGAAGGCCAGCAAGGCACACCAGGGGGTTGGACAGCACCACGCCCGATCGTCTTTGTCTCCCCAGTGACGATGTTTACAAATCGCACGGGGTACTCATTTGAGGCTGAGTCGACTTAGGGGAGGCCCACTACCGGTTCACATAATCGTCACTGGTGAGCGGTGAATCGAACTCGGATCGCCGGGGTTCGTAGTGCAGCATGCTAACCACTGAGACACCGTTCCCCAGCAACACACACACACACCGACTAACAGGCATGCAGATACACACACACTGACAACAGGCATGCAGATACACACAACAACAACCGCCATTCGCCACTAAGTGGCGGTGACGTCACCACGACGTTTGTGCCAGGCCATGTGCACCTTGACGACACGTGAAGTGTCGAACGCCCGCTGGCAGGAGGTCACGGGGCAGACCCAAGTACCACGGGTAGACTGACTAAGATGATTTGCTGATGCACCACCTATGCCCCCTACTGTGCCAACCTGCTGTGCTTTAGCCACCCGGCGCCCTGCTCGCTGTTGTGAGCGTCGCTCCTCCGCCCTCCGTTGTTGTTGGAGGGCGACTGCCTCCAACTGCCCAATAGCGTCAATCACGAGCCTCCTCCACATAGGCCGATCATTGACACCGCTGGTACCAGTCATCGGCAAGTCCACTCAGCTCCACGTCCTGCTGTACCACATCACTCCATCTCTTCTTTAGCCCGTGCCGCGCCCGTTTCGCCCCCTCGTTCCGGCCGAACAAAAGCTGTTTCGGCATGCGGTGGCTGGGCATGCGGGCCACATGGCCCAGCCATCGCAGCCTTGCCTGCCGCAGGAGCTCACCGATGGGACCTTGCCCAGATCTTTCAAGTATTTGTGAGCTCCTCACACAATCCAGCCTGGTTAAACCCAGGATGGATCGTAGGCAGGCCACCCTAAATGTTTCTAACCAGCGAAGATGTTCCATTAAGGGGGTCCACGTTTCGCAAGCGTAGAGAAGGGAATGACCGTGGCCGAGAAGACCTGAAGCTTAGTGCGGAGCGACAGACCAGGTAGCTTCCACACAGCGTTACGCAACCGATGAAAAGATATTGCCGCTCGACTGATTCGGAGTGAGACCTCTGCTGTTAAACTGGAGCCGGTCATCAGCACAAAGCCCAGGTATGGGAAACTCTCCACTCTCTCCACAACTGCCCCATCTCCGATTGGAAGTTGTGGGGGTGGAGTGTCCGATGGTACAAAATACCCAGGCAGGTGCTTAGTTTTGGTAGTTTATGGTAAGGCCCCATCTCTTAGTGGCACGCTCCAGTCTCAACAGCAGCGTCTCCAACTCCTCCTCTGAATGAGCAGCTATTACCAAATCATCGGCATACATAACGTGGTTGAGCAATAGGGAGCCATCCTTTGACCGCACCCGGGCATCGATCAGCCTCCCATTATATCTGTACCAAATGGAGATTCCCCCGGTACAGCTATTGAAGGCTTCACGAACTACGTGGTCAAAATAGATGTTAAATAATGTGGGAGCCAGAGGACATCGCTGTCGCACCCCAAGGTGTACAGGAAATGGCTCTGACTCCCAGCCACGTAGTTTTACCCGGGCCTGCTCACCATCATGAAGGTCCTTAATGATCGTGAGCAGAGTGTCAGGGACTCCAAAAGCACGAAGAACAACACAGAGCCCAGGCCTACTGATTGTATCATAGGCCTTGACCAGGTCAATGAAGCAGAGATGTAGGTCTTGTTGTAATTCCCTACACCTCTGCTGTAGCAGACGGACAGAAAATTTGGCATCTGTGCAGGACCTCCCTTTCCTGAAACCGCATTGGGGCTCCGCAAGCCTCTCCTCAGCGTGCCTGGCAAGGCGATGTTGAATAATCCTTGCCAGGACCTTTCCCGGCACACGGAGGAGTGAGATGCTCCTGTAGTTGTTACAGTCTGTGCGGTCGCCCTTCTTAAAGAGGGGGACCACCACACACACACACACTGACTAACAGGCATGCAGATACACATATACACTGACTAACAGGCATGCAGATACACACACACTGACTAACAGGCATGCAGAAACACATACAACGCACCTCTAGAGATGCACACACCCAGACTGATAGAGACATACATACAGAAGACTAACAGACACAGAGACACACGCAGATGAACAGACGCAGTCTCACAGAGACACAGCGGATCGATGGCACGGTGTGTGTGCGCGCGCGTGTTGTGTGTTTTGTGGACTATTGTTCTTCATTGAGCGGCTGTACGCGTGATCTTTGATGGAGAGGTCAAAAAGTTAAGGGCGTCTCTGTGGTGCAATTGATCTGCGCCCACATAAGGTATAGACCGATTCCACTACACCGCACAACCCTGTGTGTGGGTCTCTCCGCGTCTGCCCCATCTCTCTCTCTGCCTCTCTGAAGAATTTGCTGTCGCATTAAAGTGATTCTATTTTTTTTCACGTGCAACTCGAAGAACAAAACACAGATCCCACGTGTAGTTTTTGTTTTTAAACAGACTTGTTGGAGTAAGTGTCGTTTTGCGAGCATCTATTAAGGCCGGCACGGCACACGAGGGAATGATTGGCCAGTACCTCGCCTAGCTGCCTTTGTCTCCCCAGCGCTGGCGTTATCACACCGCACCAGGTACTACTCATTTAAGGGCTGAGTCAACCTAGGGGAGGGCCAGGACCGGTTCAGACATTTGTCGCTGAGTCACATGCAGAGTTACATAATACGCGCACACACCGCGCGCACACAACAACAAACAACGACGAAGTCCTTCTGCATATCAAATACAGGCTGTTGGGGCACGTGCCAGCTTGCGAGCACCTATGAGCAATGCGTACTGCACTGTGAACGTTACTCGGCAGGCAGCTGTGTTCGGTTAGCGAGCACTGATGTTCAGTTAGCGAGCACCTATGAGCATTGCGTACCGCACTGTGAGCGCTACTCGGCATGCAGCTGCGCCCGTGCGGTGCATCGCAGCGGTGGCTGACCGCGCGGTTCCCTGCGACGCGATTCGGCTCGGTGCGAACGCACGAAGCGAGGGCGACCTGCACGAGCCGTGACCGTTTGCCGACCCACGACAGAGCCCATTGGCAAGGTGTTGCCACGTAAACAACACGTGCCGGTGGGCTTGGGGAAGAGAAACCCCCACCGCATTTACAAATGCTAAGTGCGAGACCGTTCCGCTGGTCATTACAGCAACAACAGCAGCAGCAACAACAGCAACAACAGCCAGCTTCATCAGGCTATGAGCTGGGAATTGTGCACCACATGGCGCGGGCACCGTCCACCGCTCTCACCCCCCCCCCCCTCCTGGCCCCTCCACCCCGCAGGTGAGGGCGAGCTCCATCGCGCAAGACGCCGACCAGAACTACGACTACGCGAGCAACTCGGTGATCCTGCACCTGGACGCGGGCGACGAGGTCTACGTGAAGCTGGACGGAGGCAAGGCGCACGGCGGCAACACCAACAAATACTCCACCTTCGCTGGCTTCATCGTCTACGCGGACTGAACGCGAGGCGGCCACTCCGGCGAATGTGGGCTCGTGTGTATGTGTGCGGTGATGATGATGTGTGTGGTAGTGATGATGATGTGTGTGTTCGTGATGATGATGTGTGTGTGTGGTAGTGGTGTGTGTGTTCGTGATGATGATGTGTGTGTGTGTGGTAGTGGTGTGTGCGTGTGTGTGTGAGAGAGAGCGCGAGATCGTTGTGTGTGTGTGTGGTCGTGATGATGATGATGTGTGTGGTAGTGATGATGATGTGTGTGTTCGTGATGATGATGTGTGTGTGTGTGGTAGTGATGATGATGTGTGTGTGTGTGGTAGTGGTGTGTGTGTGTGAGAGAGACCGCGAGATCGTTGTGTGTATGTGTGCGGTGATGATGATGTGTGCGGTGATGATGATGTGTGTGTGTGCGGTGATGATGATGTGTGTGTGTTCGTGATGATGATGATGATGTGTGTGTGTTCGTGATGATGATATGTGTGTGTGGTAGTGGTGTGTGTGTTCGTGATGATGATGTGTGTGTGTGTGGTAGTGGTGTGTGCGTGTGTGTGTGAGAGAGAGCGCGAGATCGTTGTGTGTGTGTGTGGTCGTGATGATGATGATGTGTGTGGTAGTGATGATGATGTGTGTGTTCGTGATGATGATGTGTGTGTGTGGTAGTGGTGTGTGCGTGTGTGTGTGAGAGCGCGAGATCGTTGTGTGTGTGTGTGGTCGTGATGATGATGTGTGTGTTCGTGATGATGATGTGTGTGTGTGTGGTAGTGGTGTGTGCGTGTGAGAGAGAGCGCGAGATCGTTGTGTGTGTGTGGTCGTGATGATGATGATGTGTGTGTGTTCGTGATGATGATGTGTGTGTGTGTGGTAGTGGTGTGTGCGTGTGTGTGTGAGAGAGAGCGCGAGATCGTTGTGTGTGTGTGTGGTCGTGATGATGATGATGTGTGTGGTAGTGATGATGATGTGTGTGTTCGTGATGATGATGTGTGTGTGTGTGTGGTAGTGGTGTGTGCGTGTGTGTGTGAGAGAGAGCGCGAGATCGTTGTGTGTGTGTGGTCGTGATGATGATGATGTGTGTGTGTTCGTGATGATGATGTGTGTGTGGTAGTGGTGTGTGCGTGTGTGTGTGAGAGAGAGCGCGAGATCGTTGTGTGTGTGGTCGTGATGATGATGATGTGTGTGGTAGTGATGTGTGTGGGTGGGGTGATGGGGGAGCGGTCGTGTAGTGGTTAGCGCACTCTCGCTACGAAACCCGGCGAACCGAGTTCGATTCCCGCTTACGACCACCAACACCGGTGAATATTATCTGAACCGGACCTGGGCCTCCCCTAGGTCGACTCAGCCTCAAATGAGTACCTGGTGTGTAAACATCGCTACTGGGGAGACAAAGGCGGCCGGGCGTGGTGCTGGTCACCCACCCCCTCGTGTGCTGTGCCGGCCTTCATAGGTGCTGCTCGCTAACAGCACTTACCCCAACAATCTGTTGAGGCTACACGGGGGAATCTTTGTGTCAGTGTGTGTCAGTGTGTGTATGTGAGTGTGTCAGTGTGTGTATGTGAGTGTGTCAGTGTGTGTATGTGAGTGTGTCAGTGTGTGTATGTGAGTGTGTCAGTGTGTGTATGTGAGTGTGTCAGTGTGTGTATGTGAGTGTGTCAGTGTGTGTATGTGAGTGTGTCAGTGTGTGTATGTGAGTGTGTCAGTGTGTGTATGTGAGTGTGTCAGTGTGTGTATGTGAGTGTGTCAGTGTGTGTATGTGAGTGTGTCAGTGTGTGTATGTGAGTGTGTCAGTGTGTGTATGTGAGTGTGTCAGTGTGTGTATGTGAGTGTGTCAGTGTGTGTATGTGAGTGTGTCAGTGTGTGTATGTGAGTGTGTCAGTGTGTGTATGTGAGTGTGTCAGTGTGTGGTATGTGAGTGTGTCAGTGTGTGTATGTGAGTGTGTCAGTGTGTGTATGTGAGTGTGTCAGTGTGTGTATGTGAGTGTGTCAGTGTGTGTATGTGAGTGTGTCAGTGTGTGTATGTGAGTGTGTCAGTGTGTGTATGTGAGTGTGTCAGTGTGTGTATGTGAGTGTGTCAGTGTGTGTATGTGAGTGTGTCAGTGTGTGTATGTGAGTGTGTCAGTGTGTGTATGTGAGTGTGTCAGTGTGTGTATGTGAGTGTGTCAGTGTGTGTATGTGAGTGTGTCAGTGTGTGTATGTGAGTGTGTCAGTGTGTGTATGTGAGTGTGTCAGTGTGTGTGTCAGTGTGTGTGTCAGTGTGTGTGTCAGTGTGTGTATGTGAGTGTGTCAGTGTGTGTATGTGAGTGTGTCAGTGTGTGTATGTGAGTGTGTCGGTGTGTGTATGTGAGTGTGTCGGTGTGTGTATGTGAGTGTGTCGGTGTGTGTGTGTGTCAGTGTCAGTGTGTGTCAGTGTGTGTCAGTGTCAGTGTGTGGGTGTGTCAGTGTGTGTGTCAGTGTGTGTGTCAGTGTGTGTGTCAGTGTGTGTGTCAGTGTGTGTGTCAGTGTGTGTGTCAGTGTGTGTGTCAGTGTGTGTGTCAGTGTGTGTGTCAGTGTGTGTGTCAGTGTGTGTGTCAGTGTGTGTGTCAGTGTGTGTGTCAGTGTGTGTGTCAGTGTGTGTGTCAGTGTGTGTGTCAGTGTGTGTGTCAGTGTGTGTGTCAGTGTGTGTGTCAGTGTGTGTGTCAGTGTGTGTGTCAGTGTGTGTGTCAGTGTGTGTGTCAGTGTGTGTGTCAGTGTGTGTGTCAGTGTGTGTGTCAGTGTGTGTGTCAGTGTGTGTGTCAGTGTGTGTTGTCAGTGTGTGTGTCAGTGTGTGTGTCAGTGTGTGTGTCAGTGTGTGTGTCAGTGTGTGTGTCAGTTGTGTGTGTGAGTGTGTGTGTCAGTGTGTGTGTCAGTGTGTGTGTCAGTGTGTGTGTCAGTGTGTGTGTCTGTGTGTGTGTCAGTGTGTGTGTCAGTGTGTGTGTCAGTGTGTGTGTCAGTGTGTGTGTCAGTGTGTGTGTCAGTGTGTGTGTCAGTGTGTGTGTCAGTGTGTGTGTCAGTGTGTGTGTCAGTGTGTGTGTCAGTGTGTGTGTCAGTGTGTGTGTCAGTGTGTGTGTCAGTGTGTGTGTCAGTGTGTGTGTCAGTGTGTGTGTCAGTGTGTGTGTCAGTGTGTGTGTCAGTGTGTGTGTCAGTGTGTGTGTCAGTGTGTGTGTCAGTGTGTGTGTCAGTGTGTGTGTCAGTGTGTGTGTCAGTGTGTGTGTCAGTGAGTGTGTGTCAGTGTGTGTCAGTGTGTGTCAGTGTGTGTCAGTGTGTGTCAGTGCGTGAGTGTGAATGTGATGGGAGGGAGCCAGGTGCCGTTTGCTGCAAGGGGGTGAATGTGAGAGAGGGGAGCGAGAGAGAGTGCGGGTGAGAGAGAGAGAGATGGGTGGGGGGCAGGTGTTGAGTTGGGGGGGGCGAGTGGGGGAGAAGGTAGGTGGTGAGGCTCGTGTTGAGGTTAGAGAGGGGAGGGAGCGATAGTGTAGCGGTTGGCGCGCTGCGCTACGAACCCGACGACCCGAGTTCGAATCCCGCTCACGGACCAACACGAGCGACGACTATTTGAACCGGTCCAGGGCCTTCTCCCCTAGGTCGTCTCGGCCTCAAATGAGAACGTGGTGTGGTTTGTAAAAATCGCCACTGGGGAGACAAAGGCGGTCACCGACCCCATAGGGCTTATTGCGAACAGAACTTTCCCCAACAGCCTGTCGAGACGAGTTCGTGGAGGTGAAATCAGTCAGCAGTGAGGTGTCGTAACTATGGAGTGTGCAGGCGGTGCAACTGCAACGGGCGGTGGGGTGAGTGGGCCGGGCCACTACCGACCTGGCACCCCCCCCCCATATCACACATTGCACCAGGGTCCATGCCAATCACACCTCGTCACTTTCAGTCAACGCATTACAGCAACAAGCTGCCAGCCGAGAGCCTTTCACGTGATAGCCTCAATGTGCACCTAGCCTGGCACAAGAGCCGTGGTGACGTGACCGTTACTTCGTGATGAATAACTTACTAACGAATATCTTAATAACGAATATTGTTGCTGAAGGTGGAGGGGGGGGGCAGTAGGTTGTGGTGTTTTTATGGTGAGGTGAGAAAATAAAATGAGGGTGCTTGTGACAGAGAGCCGGGGAGCGGTGGCGCAGCGGGTGGCACGTTGCGTGTCCCGCTCACGGCCAATAACAATGGGGTCAAATCTGAACCTGTCCCGGGCCTTTCGTAGGTCGACTCAGCCTACAATAAGTGCAGTACCTGGTACGTGGCCTACGCGCATCATCGAGCGCCGTGCCGGCCTTCGTGTGTGCTCGTGTGAAGGCTATACGGGGGTGGGGATCTTTGCCTTTGTGTGTGGGCTTACCAGGAGCGGTCGGATGCAGGGATTGTGGAGGTTGTGGTGGTGGTGGTGATGTTGCGGGTGAGATAGGGGATGAAGAGCAGGTGATTGTTGTGATGGAGTGACGCTGCGCGGTGTGATTCTTCATCTGGAGGAAATGGGTGCATTTCTCGTATGTTTGTATGTACGTAGCTAACCGCTGACGGTGTTCACGCTCTCACATTTCTCGCGCCGTGTGTGGCGATCGCCTTATCATCGAGGACGCTATCTCTTCACGTCACCAATCATTGCCCCAAGTTCAAATATAAAAGGGTGTTTTTACAACCCGCACGCCGCCTGATGATTACGATAGGCGACGTTTCGGGCAATGCCCCTTCTCTATAGCACTTCATAATACCCTTCTTCGTGTGAAATAAGGATAGTCTCACGTGTCGAGTTCTTTGTTGTTGTTTTTTTTTTGTTGCGCAGCAGAAAATAGTTTGGCAATTGCGAAACTCGTTCCACGTGACTGCATTGAGGGCTCATTGATTTCAATCAGCCTACACCACGTGGGGCACACACAGACGACACCCCCCCCCCCCCCCCCCCCCGCCGTATAACCTTAACAGACTGCGGGGGCAAGTGCTGGCAGTGGCCACCTATGAAGGCCGGCACGGCACACCACAAGGGGGTGAGTTATAAGCGTACCACGCTCGGCCACCTTTGTCTCCCCAGTGCTGATGTTTACACACCGCACCAGTCACTTACTCATTCAAGGCTGAGTCGACCTAGGCTTGG